CTTCAGACGGGGGATCCGATGGCGTTTCGGGGGCCAACCTGTAGGACAACCTAATCGAGGTATACTGTGTCTCCCAAAACATGTTGTGCCCAAATACAATATCTATGGTTGGTGGTTGACCTACCCCTCTGAAAAATATTAGTCAGTTGGGATGATTATTCCCAATATATGGAAAAGTAAAAAATGTTCCAAACCACCAACTAGCTACAATATACACTCGTACTATTTAACGCAAACGTGGTGGCCAAATATCAAGAAACTGTATTTTCAGGTTTCAGCAAGGGTTAACCTAGTTATACCCAAATGGACTGATAAACCTAAAAGGGACAAATACCGTTAAGCTAGCGGCGCACAAGCTACTTTTTACCTGAGCCGCAATGCTGTCATACATGACTATACTACATGTGTGTTTTATGGTGAGGTGATTTTACACCCCCCTCAGGTGAGCCGGTTACGGCGAGGATGCCGCATTTACCAGGGCGAGGTCTTTAAGACCTGCCTCACCGAACCTGCTCTTTGCAAACCCAAGGGAAAACACACTCGGCGGCTATTATACAAAACCGATCGTCGATGCAAGCAGTGTCACAACTTATCCCTCTTCCCACTCAACACGCCCATGCCTGATGACTTTCTCATACCAGCGTCCGTGCCACTTCTGCCATTCTCCAGTGTAGCGGCGATCATCGTGGGACTGACTTTGCTGAGGGCGGTTGATCCACTGACTTGCAGACGTTGATGATGAAGCTACCTCTACGCCTGTGGATGGTCGGGCAACCGGTTTGGCGGTGCCTTTCTTGGAGGGACCTTGGCCATACGCACCAGTCTGCTCAGCTTTGCGCTTGGCCTCATTTTGTTCGCGGGCCCTGTCAGACTGTTTCTTCTTCTCTGCTGCGTTCTGCTTGTACAGCTCTTCATTTTGTCCCTTAATCCACCTCAAATGGCGTTCAGCATCATGAACAGCAATGTTGTCAACACCAGTGCAAGACAACAAAAGATTGTGTCCAGGATTCCTGTTGAGGTAGTCAATGTACTCTTCTTCGGAGTAAATCTCGGTTCGGTACATGTAGAACCATGGCTGGTCGATGTACCTGAAAGACTTTGGGACATCATAGCGACTGGCCAAATCCAAGTAAACCAGCCTCATTGCGTTGTGCTCCAGCTGGGATTGCTCAGAAATACCCATCTTGACCTGAGCTTTGGTGCGACCCGGCTTTGGCAAATGTGCAGACTTGAGGAGGTCGTACCTTTCACAATCGTACTCGTTCTCCCCTTCGTTCAACACGCTCTCTGCGAATGTGGCGTCCTGGGCAAACCTGTCAGCCACAGACACATAACCTAAACTCAAGGCACGGTCAAAGCGACTCTTGGCCCTTGCCAATAGGCCGGCTTCCGGACTTGAGCTTCCCCTTGCCTGGTCGTCCAACAAACCCAAAGATTCAAGCTGATCGTGTGTGATGCTCTGCAGGTACTCACCACGAAAATCATAGTACAAGCCCAGCTTGTGAAGGGCGGCCTTCCTACGTTCTGCAATCTTGGTTCGGTCGGCCTTGTTGATCCCTTCGAGCATCAATCCACACACATCGCATTCAATCTGTCCCTTGAAAGTCTGTGCAAAACATCTTGAACATTGCGTGACTTCGATCTTGACCGGCACCGGCTTCTTGTCCTCCTTCTTCACCTCTTTCTTTGAAGGTTGGTCATCGCCTTTAGGGCGAGACTTCTGCTTTGGCACCAGTGACTTTGACGTTGCTGCTGGCGTCTTTTTGGGTGACCCTGCAACTGGAGCTTTCGGATCTTTCTGCACTGCCTTTGGTGGTGCAACTTTTGGAACAGGCTCCAAGAAGGCCGCAGCAGATGATGCTGCAGGCACAGCTGTTGGCACGCTTGTTAGGGCTGCCTTCTTCTTTGCAGGTTCATCCTTTGCCGCTGCATCAACATCTGAGGCCACAGCTTTTGGAACTTCTGGTGCATGAGGTGCAGAAGTCCCTTCCTTCGGTGGTGTTTTTGGAGGTGTCTTTGGTCCTTCAACCTTTGGCGGTGTCTTCGGTCCTTCAACCTTTGCTTCAGGAGGTTTCGGAGCTTCACCCTTTGGAGGAGGGGGCAACAGTCTGCTGCTTGCATATCCAGGCATACCGGCAAGTTGGGCCACATTTGGTGGCGGAGGCTTCACCTTCCCTGGGAAAAATGTCTTTGCAGTGGGCGCGCCAGTTGAGGCGGCCGGAGATGTGGAACCTGTCCTTTTTGATGCCTTGGCCTCAAAGGTCTCGACAAGCTGTTGGACTCCAACTTCTCCCCCACTGCTTGCTGCAGACTGCGCTACCTCCTGTTGGCGACGATAAAGATTCACCTTCTTTGCCGTGTCGTCCACAGAGATGATGTATTGTGGCGGGACGACATCACTTGTGAGAATGCCGTCAGAAGCCGTCCTGAAAAACACAATTCCAGCCTTGACAGCTTCTGCCATTGCAACCCTGATTTCAATGGGTCGCTCAGCACGCAAACCACTCACATACTCTTTCTCATCAACACGAACGTCGCTAAAATAGGAGTGAGCTCTTCCTGACGAATTTCGTTCTCCTCCTCCAGCCACGAAGCCATTCTCAATGATGCCCTTCCAATTGCCTTTTGTAGTCCTGTGATAAACTACACCAGGGCACATCTGAGGAGTGGTAATCTTTTTACCTTTGGCGTTCATTTTCTGGATTGCTGCTGCTCCAGACAGAGCATAGATTTCCACTGCATTGAACGTGTCCTCAGCTGAAGCGGCATCCATGGCACGTTTCGTATGCCCCTGCACTGCACGGATCCTGATGGGCCAGTAGGCTAACCCTTTACGGGTTGCCTTCTGGTACCCGGCAATGCACTGGAACTCAAAACGGCACTTGTTGTCCCAGTAGAGCAATGAGATGAGCTCTTCAACTGTCATTCGGGGCAACTTGGCTGGCAGCATTTGGTTGAACATTCGAAAGAAGTCATCAAGGTCAAGCCACATGTTTTCATCAAATCCAGAGGTGTCCTGACCCGGCTGTCCACGCGTCACTGCATTGACCTTGGTCTTGTGTCGGTCCATGCGATCTGGGTACTTCAGCTCCTTTGCACCATCCATCTCCCAACAGGTTTTGACGATCAATTCGTAGGGATGGGCATCAACGACGCAATGTTCAACTACTTCTGCATTTATGTTTTCATCCAAAGTGATGCGATATTTGTCAAGGTGTCCAAGTGCGTGTTTCGGAATGATGGTACCCTTGATCTCGTTTTCTTGCAGGGGCTCACCAGCTGAGGTGGCCTGAGTTGAATCCTCCTGCGTCGTCTGAGGTTTCGCCTTGGGGTCAGGCGGAGCTGCGTGGCTCGCCTTGGCTTTGCCAACAGATGGGCCCTCGTGCTCATCGGGATCCAGAGCATCCCATGGGTCGCCTTCCTCATCATCATCTTCGGCGACACCAGCATCAGTCGGGCGATCCCTCAACTCCTCCGCTGTAAAGCTTTCCGGGGTCGAGACACTCGGTGCAGGCTTGTTCACCTTCTCCCGGAGAGAGTTGAGAACCTGCACAAACCTGACTGGGAGGTGCTCCATCTTAGGCGGGACATCGCGCATTGTGGCTTCACCTGCAGGGCGCCTGCGCTTGTACAAAGACAGGTTGTACTGAGGGATCAAAATGTCCGTCATGTGCAGCATGTGGAGAGTTGCCATGACATATCCGATCATCTCGCTTCGGTTGAGCTCGGTCTCGAATGCGTGAAAGTAGTCCCTGAGCTCAAGCCTCGGTGGAAGCATGTCATTCTTGATCCACCGAATCCGATCGTTGTCACTGGCAATCTCCTTGTGGAACCATTCCTTCAGACGTTCAATAAACGTCGTGAAGATGAGACTCAACCCATAAGTGAGCGGGTCGGGCTCGCCGATTAGGGCGGCCTGATCCACTCCCAACTCCTTGAGCTGATTGTTCCACCAAACAATGTTGCCTTTGACCCTGTCCATGATGGCATTCCAGTCACCCTGTGGCTCCCTCTGCCCCCAAATGGGAAGGGGTTCAACACCATATTCCCCACAAATTTCATTTCCAGACCAAAAGATCACCGAAATAACCCTGATGGCTGATCCATGAGAAGAATATTTTGCCATCAGCTCCTTGATCATGGAAATATTTGCTTTGCAGAGCTGTTGTAAATCCTTACCCCAGAGCATGTCATGACCGATTTCGAGAACCATGTCTGATTTTCGCAATCCCAGATCCTCCTTCAAGGTGTACTTCTTCAAAGTCTTACCCTTTCCAGTGATCAGAGCCAAAGTTGAATCGGAAGTCACCACATAGATGGTGGGCACGACGTCTACCGCCGGCCTTGATGTCCCAGGGACGTACTCAGTAGGCAAGCTCAGATCCCACAGTGAGTCATGTTCCAACTCGGACAGATGGCGGATCTCCTTTGCCCACGGCACGTTCGTCAGGGCGTCCGTAGACATTGACTGCGCAGTAAAACACTGCATGAATCCTGCAGCCAACTCAAGGTCTTCTGTTCTGTTGCCCTGTGCCAGGATGGTTGACGAAGCGAGGATCGTAGAAAAGATGTCCTCCCACCCTGCGTGCCTATCCCCCTGAACATCAAGGCACTTCCGAAAAGCAAGCCACTCCGACATGTTGCTCTGCTGGGGCACGGTCTTTAAACCGGCCGACTTGAGAGCCCGCACGTTCATCTTTTCAGCAATCGACAAGTTTGAATCTTCAGAACGTCGGCTCATGGCGGGCAAAGCTAACCTTTTCCTGTTCTTGGCGGTTTGTGCCCGGTTAGCTCTGGAACGAAAACAATCATGGATGAAGTCAGTCAACTTGAATGTGTAGTTCTCTGCAAGCTTCAGTGCAGTACCCCGGCTTTGACCATGAGTGTGGGAACCATCACAAACGTATTCCGATAGACTTGACAACTCTTCCATGTTTGTTGCAATCATCCAACCCTTTTTCATGGGATTCCCGTCCAAGTCAATAACCCCAAACTGGCAA